TCAACAGCTTCGCGTCCAAGATCTTGCACATACACGTAAGAACTCTTGTACAGGTGTATATATATACAACAAAAAACGTGGCAAGGAAGCCTACCTGGGTGACGAGCGACTGGTCGGTGGGGTTGTCGACGTGGCCGGTCTGGACGAGGAGCTTGTAGGCGAGGACGCCCTCGTCAGAAGCGTTGGTGTGCCAGGTCTCCTGCGTGATGCACCCGTCCCGCCAGTCCCGGTCAAACGCCGCCTGCAGTCCTGCCAAGTAAGAGTGCCTTCTTGTTGACATATTGGCAACACCTTCACCTCTCAACAATCCTCTGGAAATCCTTCCAAAGTAATATATAGTAGTAATGGCTTGGCGATTTCTCCTGATAGTTTTCTCTCGACACTATAACATATACACCACTAACGAGCCTACACCTACACACACACACACACACACACACACACACACACACACACACACACACACACACACACACACACACACACACACACACACACACACAGTATGGTGGCAGTGTTTCCTAACGCGAGGCCACTTACCCCCGCTCACAACACACACGTGGCCAGCCACACCACCTTGTGAGACCTAGACTACACCCACACCTCCCCACACCAGCCAGCCTCCAGGTGTGTACATTACCTGAGGTAGGGCGTCAGGAGTGGGGGGGGGCGTAGTCCTCACGGCCCACCACCACCACACATCACCGCCACACACCACTGCCACTGTGGCACATGAAAGCGTACCGAGAGGAGAGCTTCAGTGGCACCCCTAACACCCCCCCCCATCCTCCTACCCCACGACCCCAAGCGGGAGGACTGCCAGCCCATCACCCCCCCCCCCCCGCCCCACCCTTCCTGCCTACACCTCTGCTTTCCGCTGTGTCTACTTGTTTGCTCCACTACCTACAACGAAGATCTGTTTGCCTACATTAAATAAGGAAATGGTCAGCCTCTGGAGGTACTGGTGTGCCAGTGTCAGCCCTCTGGAGGTACTGGTGTGCCAGTGCCACCCTCTGGAGGTACTGGTGTGCCAGTGTCACCCTCAGGAGCTACTGGTGTGCCAGTGTCACCCTCTGGAGGTACTGGTGTGCCAGTGTCACCCTCTGGAGGTACTGGTGTGCCAGTGTCAGCCTCTTGAGGTACTGGTGTGCCAGTGCCACCCTCTGGAGGTACTGGTGTGCCAGTGCCACCCTCTGGGGGTACTGGTGTGCCAGTGCCACCCGCAGTATCCAAAGACAGCAGCGCCAATATTGTTTATATGTTAGCGTCTTGGCAGGCTTCAAAGTATAGGGGGAATGTGAGGGGGAGTGATCGTATCCCCCGAGGATGACGCCGGGGCGGGAACACCTCCAGAGTAATTACCCCGGGAGGCGGCGGTGACGCCCACCCACCTGAGTGCCACCCGTCCCCCCCCACTCTCTCTCACACACACACACACACACACACACACACACGGAGCCTGACGGCTGAGTGGACAGCGCTAGGGATTCGGGCGCCTGGTGGTTGAGTGGACAGCACTCAAGACTCGTAATCCTGGGGACCAGGGTTCGATCCCCGGCGATGGCGGAAAACAGATGAGCAGTTTCTTTCACCTTGATGCCCCTGTTACCTAGCAGTTAATAGATACCTGGGAGTTAGACAGCTGTTACGGGCTGCTTCCTGGGGGTGTGCTTGTAAACAAAAAATAATAAATAAAAACACTGATTGATTGACAGTTGAGAGGCGGGCCGAAAGAGCCAGAGCTCAACCCCCGTAAGCACAACTCGGTGAAAAATACACCCACACGGCCTCGTGGCTGATTGGACAGCACTCGGGGGTTGAATGGCCCGGGTTCGATTCCCGGTGGAGGCGGAAACAAATGGGCAGAGTTCCTTTCACCCTGATGCCCCTGTTCTCCTAGCAGTAAATAGGTACCTGAGAGTTAGAAAGCTACAACCCCCGGCCTGGGGATGTGTGTGCGTGTGTTAGAGAGAAATATAAGAAGTAGATATAATAGAGGAAAAAACTATTGGTTAGAAAGGCGGGGTCCAAGAGCTAATAGCTCGATTCTGCACATAAATAATAAATACACACACTCAGTCTCAAAGTGTCGCACATAGTCTCTCGCTCGCTCCCTCTCACTTTGTTTCCCTTCCTCTTTTATCATACATATTTTTGTTTTTCAATCCCGTTCTTTCATGCTTCATCAATGTGTTGCCCTTGTGGTGCCCTGCTTGTGGTGGCCTGCTTGTGGTGCCCTGCTTGTGGTGCCCTGCTTGTGGTGCCCTGCTTGTGGTCCCCTGCTTGTGGTGGCGTGCGTGGCGAGGGCCAGGCAGGGGGCCACATGTCTCCACCCGCGGCACACCCCCGCCATACTCCCCAGCTTGATGACCCGCGCTGCGAAATACACGCTCCAGGTGACGGCACTTTCCTGTAGCGGCAGACGTTGGGGAGTGGAGGCTGGGAGCGGGAAGGATGGGTAGCAGGGGTAGAGGCTGGGTGGTGGACGAGAAGGGATGGTCGGACGAGGGGAGCCGGTCGGCCGAGCGGACAGCACGCGGGACTTCTGATCCTGTGGTCCCGGGTTCGATCCCAGGCGCCGGCGAGAAACAATGGGCAGAGTTTCTTTCACCCTATGCCCCTGTTACCTAGCAGTAAAATAGGTACCTGGGTGTTAGTCAGCTGTCACGGGCTGCTTCCTGGGGGTGGAGGCCTGGTCGAGGACCGGGCCGCGGGGACACTAAAAAGCCTCGAAATCATCTCAAGATAACCTCAAGATATGGTAACGGGGCTGTATGGACGATGTAAAACAGTAATTTGATTCAATTTCAACCCGTGGAGAGGTATGTGACGTTACTAGAGACATGCCAGAAGCTAGAGATAACAGTGTGGTGAGCCCCGAGGCAGGAGCCAGTACTCACCGATGAGCCAGTCCCTGAAGAGCGAGAGCCAGAACTCCGGCAGACCGCCGTCGTCGTTCTTGATGATGTTGGTGACGCTGGTAAAGGCTTCGTAGTAGTCGTGGAGGAGCCGCTGCCTGCTGGGGTACTCCAGGTTGCCCTGCGTCACCGCGAACATGTTGTAGAAGCCGAAGTACCGCTGCTGCGCCGACAGGAAGGCGTACTCGGGCGTGTGGCTGGGCACGATGTCCGTCAGGTCGAGGCCGTCCTCCACGCGGCTCACGCCCCACGCCGCCGCCGCCACCGACACTATCAGCCCCGCCACGGCCGCCGCCTTCACCGCCCCGTGCGTCAGCGCCGGTCCGTACACCGCCCCCGCCACCCACCCCACGCTCCACCCTGACCACATCTTGACTGCTGACGCCCACGCCTGTGACAAGCCCGAGCAGCTCTTGCCGCCGCCCACGAGGTCGCGGGTGGAAGTGGCGGTGGAGAGGGACTCCAGGGAGGGGGCGGACGGGGCGTGGGGGTCTGGCGGCGCCCCCCAGCACTCCCGAGGGGCGGGAGGAGGCACCACGTGGGTGACGGTGCCGCCCCCTGGGGGAGGCAAAGCTCGAGTCACTGTCGCTTTTCTTGTGCGGTCGAGGGCGGCGGGCGGAGGCTGGCGAGAGTGCCGCAGCCTGCTCCGCCCTTCTTCAGCAGCAGCGGTCGCTGCCTGCTGCAGCTGCAGCACCTGATCCCTCTCCCCACCCTGGAAACAGCAGAAGAGGTCTGCTCTTAGGGCGTGGCGCCGCCGCAGGTCGAGACTCATGACGGCGGGGAAGACGGCGAGGGCGGAGAGCAGGTTGAAGAGCACCAGCAGCGCCGCCTGCAGGCAGAAGGCTCGCAGGGCCGGCACGGGCACCAGCGCCCCGGCGAAGAAGGCACAGGCGTTGCAGACGGAGGTGAGGACCACGGAGACTCCCGCCCGCTTCACCACCTCACCCACACGCTCCTGCAGGGGAAATCATGAGTGAGTATTTTTCTTTTATTATATATATATATATATATATATATATATATATATATATATATATATATATATATATATATATATATATATATATATATATATAAAATATATATATATATATATATATATATATATATTAACAAGAGTTGTTACTTCTTATACAGCCACTGAGACGCATAGCGTTACGGGCACGTCCTTAGTCCTAATATTCCCTGGAATACAACCCACCAAATTGTTTAACACCCAGGTACCCATTCACTGCTGGGTATACAGAGGCTACAGTTAAGGATTGGCGCCCAGTCAATCCTCCCGGCCAGGATACGAACCGAAAGCGGTTAGTGCTTTACCACTGTGCCACTGTTTACCACTGTGGGACTGCACATGGGAAGATTAATTAATATGGGATATAATGGGAGGTGGGCACCGGGCCGTGGGCATCCCCACACCACCAGCACCAGCCATCATGAGGCCACGGCGTCACCCACACCTGCCACTGTGCCTGGGAGAGAGCGCTCACACCAGGGCTACCTGCCACTGTGCCTGGGAGAGAGCGCTCACACCAGGGCTACCTCCCACATGGATTTACTACAAAATGGGTACAGTCGGTACAGTCAGCCCAACACACATACACAGCTGGAAAATTGTTCAGGTGTTAAAAAAAAAACAATATTCCTGAAAATGTGGACATGCACTTCAACTATCGCACTTGTGAATGGTATAACTCTTACTGTTTTCCTACCGTCAATGCATTATATGAGGACCTGGTCACTGAAGTAACCGTTTTTTATGACAATATTGTAAAATCCACAAGACCCAAGTGCCTGAAGTTGGTCCCTTACCACCCCAGCCCGTGACACTGGCCCACACCCCACAACACCCAACACAGCCAGGAAGGGACAGAGGTGGTTCTCTGACTCACGCCTTAAGCATCTTAGCTGAGCAGTACAAAACACCTGACACCCTCAACATATGTCTTAAGGCCAGCCGAGAGTTCAGAGAGGTAAAGGAACAGGTGTATAACCAGCACTGGGAACAGTTTCTGCAAGGCATCAATCATGCAACATCCTCATCCCAAATGTGGAATTAAATAAAAAAGTTTTCTCATGCTAGCAGTCGTCAACTTGATCACCATTCACCTGTAGACCTGCCTGCCTCTCCTTCCCGGCCTGCCTCCCTCTCCCTCCCGGCCTGCCTCCCTCTCCCTCCCGGCCTGCCTCCCTCTCCCTCCCCGGCCTGCCTCCCTCTCCCTCCCGGCCTGCCTCCCTCTCCCTCCCGGCCTGCCTCCCTCTCCCTCCCGGTCTGCCTCCCTCTCCCTCCCGGCCTGCCTCCCTCTCCCTCCCGGCCTGCCTCCCTCTCCCTCCCGGCCTGCCTCCCTCTCCCTCCCGGCCTGCCTCCCTCTCCCTCCCGGCCTGCCTCCCTCTCCCTCCCGGCCTGCCTCCCTCTCCCTCCCGGCCTGCCGACCTGCTGCTTCAATAATATGCAAGCACTGCCAGTATGGGCAGCCTGCCCCTGGAAGTACAGGGGTAGGCAGACCTACCTCATTAGGCTACCTGGGTTTCATAACACCACATAGATAACCAGCTTCACCCTAGCTCCTCACACACCCGGGCCACCCTACCTTACACACCCGGGCCACCCTACCTTACACACCCGGGCCACCCTACCTTACACACCCGGGCCACCCTACCTTACACACCTGGGCCACCCTACCTTACACACCCGGGCCACCCTACCTCACACACCCGGGCCACACTACCTCACACACCCGGGCCACCCTACCTTACACACCCGGGCCACCCTACCTCACACACCCGGGCCACCCTACCTCACACACCCGGGCCACCCTACCTCACACACCCGGCCACACTACCTCACACACCCGGGCCACCCTTCCTTACACACCCGGGCCACCGTACCTTACACACCTGGGCCACCCTACCTCACACACCCGGGCCACACTACCTCACACACCCGGGCCACACTACCTCACACACCCGGGCCACCCTACCTCACACACCCGGGCCACACTACCTCACACACCCGGGCCACCCTACCTCACACACCCGGGCCACACTACCTCACACACCCGGGCCACCCTACCTTACACACCCGGGCCACCCTACCTCACACACCCGGGCCACCCTACCTTACACACCTGGGCCACCCTACCTCACACACCCGGGCCACACTACCTCACCCTGGCTCCCACTCCACTCGGGAGACAAAAGAACGTCATGTTACAAGATGAGTATCACGCCCATGATTAGTGAGCGGCCATTATGAGGTGCTGGGGCCTGGTCCTCTCTGGCGCCCCTCCACCCTCATGTCCACCACCCTCCTCCATGTCCACCACCCTCCTCCATGTCCACCACCCTCCACCCTCATGTCCACCATACTCCACCCCTCATGTCCACCACCCTCCACCATGCCTACCACCCTCCACCATGTCCACCACCCTCCACCATGTGAAGGTGGGCGTGGGGTAGACACGGGTGAGGGCGTGGCAGCTGGTCTGCCAAGCACGGAGGTTGACAGTCAACTGTCTTCATTTGTGGACTGCCCCCCCCCTCTCCCTCCCGGCCTGCCCCCCTCTCCCTCCCGGCCTGCCCCCCCCTCTCCCACCCGGCCTGCCCCCCCCCCCTCTCCCTCCCGGCCTGCCCCCCCCTCTCCCTCCCGGCCTGCCCCCCCCTCTCCCTCCCGGCCTGCCCCCCCCCTCTCCCTCCCGGCCTGCCCCCCCCTCTCCCTCCCGGCCTGCCCCCCCCCCTCTCCCTCCCGGCCTGCCCCCCCCCCTCTCCCTCCCGGCCTGCCCCCCCCTCTCCCTCCCGGCCTGCCCCCCGCCTCCCGCCCGGCCTGCCCCCCCCTCCCTCCCGGCCTGCCCCCCCCTCCCTCCCGGCCTGCCCCCCTCTCCCTCCCGGCCTGCCCCCCTCTCCCTCCCGGCCTGCCCCCTCTCTCCCTCCCGGCCTCCCTCTCCCTCTCCCTCCCGGCCTCCCCCCCCCCCCCCTCCCGCCCGGCCTGCCCCCCCTCTCCCTCCCGGCCTGCCCCCCCTCTCCCTCCCGGCCTGCCCCCCCCCCCTCCCGCCCGGCCTGCCCCCCCCCTCCCGCCCGGCCTGCCCCCCCCCCTCCCGCCCGGCCTGCCCCCCCCCTCCCGCCCGGCCTGCCCCCACTATCAGGTGATCACCGCCCACGCCCACCAACACATCCATCAGGGGCCTGGCTATCGCTCACACGGCGCCGCACCGGACAAATAGTTGTTGTGGTCACCCTGGAGAGATCACGCCGCCCCGGACCACCCCTCAGGTACATGTACCAGGCTCACTGCCACACCCGCGCCACACCCGCGCCACACCCACGCCACACCCACGCCGCCCTGGACCCCTTGGAGCAGCCCCACGCCACACACACACCTACACGCCCCTGGAACACCCTCCAATACCGCTACACATCTTAAACAATAAGAGGACGTGAACACTACAGAGTGAAGTTAGGCTCTAAGAAGAGGCGTAAAAACCGTCCACCATGAGTGTTGACAATCTAAGAGTTCCTAGAGTCCCTAAACACCAACACCCACTCCCACAGCTGGTGGTCCAAGACCCACTCCCACAGCTGGTGGTCCAAGACCCACTCCCACAGCTGGTGGTCCAAGACCCACTCCCACAGCTGGTGGTCCAAGACCCACTCCCACAGCTGGTGGTCCAAGACCCACTCCCACAGCTGGTGGTCCAAGACCCACTCCCACAGCTGGTGGTCCAAGACCCACTCCCACAGCTGGTGGTCCAAGACCCACTCCCACAGCTGGTGGTCCAAGAGTAAAGTTTAACTCAGGTAAGTGTAAAGTAATAAAATTTGGTGACGGGAGCAGGTGGCCGATCACAAGGTACCATCTTGGAGGTGAAATTCTGCAACAGTGAAGTAGGGAACAAGATCTGGGAAGGAAGGGGGGGGGGGGGGATATGACGGGAGAGGAAGGTCAAGGGAAGGGGGATAACGGCAGAAAGGGGGAAAGAAACATGACTGGGAGAAATGAAGGGAAAACAAAAGAGAAGAGGAAAGAGAGGAGAGCGCACAAGTGTGAGTCTCAGATGACGCTGATAAGGGCTAGGTGGGCCAGGCCAGGTGTGGGCCCTCCTAGTGGGTTACCCTCCCCCCCCCCCCTCACCAACTAACCCCCTCCCACCCGTCCCTATACAAATCCCGGCAGAGGAGCGCCCTTATCGCTGCCCCACACCATGCATCTCCCTCCCTCTCACTCCCTCACAAGAGCCCGGCATCCCCTCTCTCAACTGGAAGACATCGACACTCAATAATTAAGAGACGCCGTTATTTCCCGCCGCCATATTTCTTTGGGAGGATGAAAGCGGCTGTGGTCCAGTGCTCCACTTCTCTCCTTTGAGGACAATTACTGTGCATGTCGAGGAGGGCGTCTGTGGGCGGCCACCAGCTGCTCCCTGGCTGTCTACCGCACAACCATCAACTTTAAAGATCCTGAACTTAAGACATGACTAAGAGCCGGGACTGTCACCTCAAGAACTAGGTGTAGACCAGCCAGAGATGAGCTGGTCATATACTGACCATGCCCCACGCCACCACCCACCCGCTCACTATAATGCCCCACGCCACCACCCACCCGCTCACTATAATGCCCCACGCCACCACCCACCCGCTCACTATAATGCCCCACGCCACCACCCACCCGCTCACTATAATGCCCCACGCCACCACCCACCCGCTCACTATAATGCCCCACGCCACCACCCACCCGCTCACTATAATGCCCCACGCCACCACCCACCCGCTCACTATAATGCCCCACGCCACCACCCACCCGCTCACTATAATGCCCCACGCCACCACCCACCCGCTCACTATAATGCCCCACGCCACCACCCACCCGCTCACTATAATGCCCTACACCCTCCTGCCATTACGGTAGTAATGAACAACTGTGATATATTTACTCACTATAATGTTGGTGCTGAATGTACAACACGAAAAAAACATTTTTACTCTGAAATAATATCATTATAACGAAATTAGGTCCATGTAATTACCCCAAGCCACAACAGTGTTGTTTGGAGCGTCGACTTCCTGTGGCGTCACCTGCCACCTAGTTTAGTCTAAATTCCTTATAAAATTATATTATTTTAAAGTAAAAATATGTTTTTTCGTGTTGTACATTCAGCACCAACATTATAGTGAGTAAATATATCACAGTTCTTCATCACTTACGTAATGCTTGGAGGCTGAGGGGAACTATAGGGACCGGTAGCACTTACTGTGATGTTGGCCCTCACAGCCAGACTCCACCGTCGGCACCCACCACAGTGTGAGGCCCCTCTACCACTCACCCGGTGGGGAAGACTGCAGTTTGGTACTCACCCGGTGGGGAAGACTGCAGTTTGGTACTCACCCGGTGAAGAAGACTGCAGTTTGGTACTCACCCGGTGGGGAAGACTGCAGTTTGGTACTCACCCGGTGTGGAAGACTGCAGTTTGGTACTCACCTGGTAGGGGATGAGAGTGTTGTCAGCGGTCTCGACGAAGGTGTGCGCCAACAGGAACATGTCGTCCACGCCGAGGCCGAGGGCGAGGAAGGGCAGGACCTGGGTGGTGGAGGCATTGAAGGGGAGGCCGAGGAGGGCGCAGAAGCCCAGACCTGCCGCCACCGTCACCGCCACCAGGAGCACCCCGGCCAGCCCCAGACCTGCCGCCGACCTCACGGAGTCTGAGAGCCGTGCCAGCGACACGCACGCGTACACCACCTGGCGGAGGAAGACGGGTCGTCGTCACCACACACAACAGCACACCTGTTCTTGCTGTCATTCACACTGAATGACGGCCACAGTCTTTTGGCCGGGCTTGGGGGAGTAGAAGAACTCCCACAACCCCATCAAGCAGTAACAGTTTGTACAATACTGACTTACTAGCGGCCGAGTGAGCTGTTTATTTTAGATTTAGCTGCTCAGATGGAAGTGTCCACGTGTAGCACACAGGGCTGTAGTGCGCCCGTAACCCCGAGTGAGCAACACACGGTGTATTCATACCTCAATAAACTTATTTCAGCTTCAGTACACCTGGCCACACTCCGGCCCCGCCCTTCTTTACACACACTTCAAGATAAGTCAATTAATATTCCAGTTCAAAGAAACATTTTCCATATTTGTATTGTAATTTTACTCAAGTTATATTTGCATTGAAATACTGTCAGTTAATTTATTTTGAAATTTGTGAGTTAATAATGATTTGAAGCACCGTAAGGTTTACTGTGAGACCGTGTACTGGTGCTCATGTCACCGTCACGTGAGACCGTGTACTGGTGCTCATGTCACCGTCACGTGAGACCGTGTACTGGTGCTCATGTCACCGTCACGTGAGACGGTGTACACAGCCTCCTCTCGGGTGTGCTCTACTCACTTCTAAACTATATAACTCATGCCTAACTGTTCCAAACTTAATAACTTAACTTGAAACCTACATAAAAACGCCTTTTTACTCTAAAATCTGCAGGCGTGTGAGAGTGTTAGTGTGTGTGTGTGTGTGTTGTGTTGCTACAATTTGATTCGTAATCAGTCTCTCAAAGACTTAGTGTCTGGCGTTACGTAGGTATACTGGTATAGTGTACAAGTTTACCTACATAAGATAATCTGGAGGACAGAGCACCGCCAGTTACTTGGAGTCCAAACAGTCCCACTACTACAAACCACCACTGAATTTCGCTGCGCAAGAAGACACTAGAAAGATGTAAGCAGAGAGAAGGGCGCACTTACCATGAAGATGTAGCCTAGGGCCACCCTGGAGGCGGGCACCTCGGAGAAGTCCCGGAGCAGGTGGTCAAGGGCGGCGCTGGAGAAGGGCAGGAGTTGGTATGGTCGCGTCTCATTCTGCCTCCGCTGGGTCTCCGTCAGCACCTCCTACAGGAAGACACACACACACACATACAAGGTTACTGAAGGTATGACCCATTGGTGTAATGAATGCTGCATGTAGTGAACACAATGTTCAACGGAAGCCCACCTCACACACAAGCATGCTAAAATGGGTAATGATATTGCACAAGGAGGAGCGGACACAATGTGAGGTGTACCGTGGCTGTGTACCATGGTAGATGTGTACCGTGGTAGATGTGTACCGTGGCTGTGTACCATGGTAGATGTGTACACAGGGTGCAGTCGCACCTCCACAGATCTCCAGTATCAGCTCTTGATACTGGTAATGGCTCAAAAGGGCCACCACTTACGGGCTATTCATGCCCGTGCCACCATTTGGGTGGCTTAATCTTCATCAATCAATCAATTAACCCGGTTAGAAGAGAAGTGAAGCCATAACATAGTACAGTATAACTGTGTACGTGTGGAACTAAGATAATTGTTAGGTCTTACACTAGTAGTGAGTGTTGGTCTTGTGTACCTTAGAGGCTGGTGCAGTGCCACCTCCTCACATTTAAAGAGTCAACAGTGTAAGCATAGTGCTAAGCTGTATGACAACGTACCCAAGCAGGGACCGCGGAGTGCCCCTGGCATGGGCACGGGGAGGGAGGGTGGAGGTGGCATGGGCACGGGGAGGGAGGGTGGAGGTGGCATGGGCACGGGGAGGGAGGGAGGGTCCAGTTGGAACTCGATAAATCACAGTAATGCGATCAATATTTATTTAATTAATGGTTACATAAATCTTCAGCAGTTTCTTTTGTTTAACCAGTGTATGACTCGGCCCGGGCTCTCCTTCATCTTAATATAATTAAGATTAATTTAACGTGCGAAACAAGAGTCATGTCTACCTGCAGTTGTCATATTAGTTCATCTTGTAAAATAACAGTTTTGAGAATATTTTAGCTGAATTTCCTTCTCTAAAGATTCAAGTTTTGCGGGAAAAATACTAATGTTTCTGATGCGTTAATCGTGATGGCAAACGAACACCTCTCCTTCGTCTGTTTTATGTTCTTATATGATAAGACGCCAGCAAGAGACAATGCACCACGACCATCTGGTCACTACTTGGTCCGGGAGACATCTCCCGTCACGCAGGGTGCAGTCGCGCCTCCACAGATCTCCAGTATCAGCTCTTGATACTGGTAATGGCTCAAAAGGGCCACCACTTACGGGCTATTCATGCCCGTGCCACCTCTTGGATGGCTTAATCTTCATCATCATCATCAGAGACAATGGTCATCGTATTGCCAGGGTGTGTGTTCTCCACCCCCTGCCTCCCACAGTGACTCCCACTGCCTCCCACAGTGACTCCCACTGCCTCCCACAGTGACTCCCACTGCCTCCCACAGTGACTCCCACTGCCTCCCACAGTGACTCCCACTGCCTCCCACAGTGACACCCACTGCCTCCCACAATGACTCCCACTGCCTCCCACAATGACTCCCACTGGCCTCCACAGTGACTCCCACTAGGAGACCCACTGTCTCACACCGGTGGTGAAAGTGGTGGTGGTGGTGGTGATGACAAGTGTGGTGGTAGTGGTGATGATGACAAGTGTGGTAGTGATGGTGACAAGTGTGTGAAGGAGACCTGGCCCAACGCTGGCGTCAGCACCCATTTTTTTTGGGGGGGGGGCGAGTAAATTGGATTGAGAGGCCTAGGTGAAGGGAAGTATAGAAGTGGGAAATACAGTGAGAGGTATGACAGCAGCCACTCGTCAGCACCCACCTGAGTGAACTTGTTCTGCCAGGCTTCGAGGATGAGGGCAGCCTTCTCCTGCGACCAGTCGACGTGGTGGACCCGGTAGTGGTCGACCCAGTACTCGTAGAGGTTCTTGGCGCCCATCAGCTGCACCATACTCTGCACCGCCTCGCCCCTGCACGTATGGTACTCCTATATACACACGCCTTCTACTATTAGTGTCCCTCTTATATCATAGTGCTCAGAAGGGGAGGAGGAGCAACAAGAGTAGTAACAGGAGGAGGAAGAGTAATAACAGGAGGAGGAAGAGTAATAACAGGAGGAAGAGTAGTAACAGGAGGAGCAACAAAAGTAATAACAGGAGGAGGAAGAGTAATAACAGGAGGAAGAGTAGTAACAGGAGGAGCAACAAGAGTAATAACAGGAGGAGGAAGAGTAATAACAGGAGGAAGAGTAGTAACAGGAGGAGGAATAACAGAAGTAAGAGGAGTAAGAGGAAGAGTAGTAACAGGAGGAGGAAGAGTAATAACAGGAGTAAGAGGACTCACCTGACGATGTGGCCGGTCTTGTTGGTGGTGGTGGCGCCGACGATGAGGTCCTCCGGCCAGTGCATGTACTTGCCCGCGAAGCCGTAGCAGCCGCCCGTCAGCTCCGCCCCCACGTCAGGAGGCTGCAACACTCACTCACGTCAGCACACACACTTTACACACCTCCATTAAGCCCATTACAACTCCCTATGGCTATGTTTTCATGAGGATTTTGTTCACAATTTCGAATAGAGATATTATGAGGAGGGAGGGTTGACGCACCTGTCTGGAGTGCTTGTTGGGCGCCGTGTCCGGACACAGCGGGTCGAACGGGTTGAGACAAGGCTTCTCCTGGTAGGCCGTGGTGATGCCCGCCTGGGGGCGACAAGGCTCGCGTTATACAAACATCCTCACAACGGAACAACACAACTCTTCCAAACAAAGTACCACCTGAGTTACCACACATACCCGCCTCACTACCAAACACGTCACATCTTCCCTACTAAACAAGTCTTAAAACACCTCAACAAGCAACATTTTTAGCGCATATATTATTTTTAGCATCTGGAATTTTACATTTCTAAAGAACTGAAAACAAGAGTCATGAGAGTCGGTCAGTTTAGCAGAGAGGAGGACGCAGGTTAAGACCTGCTGAGAGTCACAGTGGCCACAGTAACGTGCTGATGATAACCTCCTCCCCCCCCCCCCCCCCACACTACTCTTATACTCACTAACCTCCCTCACAGGCAGAGAAGGAATAAATGACCAGTGATGTAGAGAGGAGCCCCGCCTCCACAAGACGGGTCATGAGGGGTGCACGGCACATCCAGCCTCAGCTACACAACTAATCAACCACAATCACACAACCAAGCAAGTCACTAAACAAATTAAAATGAAGCCTTTATATATATGTAGGTCACATGTACACTATATATATATATATATATATATATATATATATATATATATATATATATGTCGTACCTAGTAGCCAGAACGCACTTCTCAGCCTACTATGCAAGGCCCGATTTGGCTAATAAGCCAAGTTTTCATGAATTAATGTTTTTCGACTACCTAACCTAACCTAACCTAACTTTTTCGGCTACCTAACCTAACCTAACCTATAAAGATAGGTTAGGTTAGGTTAGGTAGGGTGGTTAGGTTCGGTCATATATCTACGTTAATTTTAACTCCAATAAAAAAAAATTGACCTCATACATAATGAAATGGGTAACTTTATCATTTCATAAGAAAAAAATTTGAGAAAATATATTAATTCAGGAAAACTTGGCTTATTACGCAAATCGGGCCATGCACAGTAGGCTGAAAAGTGCGTTCTGGCTACTAGGTACAACATATATATATATATATATATATATATATATATATATATATATATATATATATATATATATATATATATATATATATATATATATATATATATATATATATATATATATATATATATATACTACATATATATAATATGCCATATGCAAGCTTATGTAGGTACTCTGCAAAGGCATTTGATCACTGCAACTCCGTCATATTTTGCTAAGATATTCCTTTATCCATTGGATCACTGCTTGATACCCGCTTGATGGGGTTCTGGGAGTTCTTCTACTCCCCAAGCCCGGCCCGAGGCCAGGCTTGACTTGTGAGAGTTTGGTCCACCAGGCTGTTGCTTGGAGCGGCCCGCAGGCCCACATACCCACCACAGCCCGGTTGGTCCGGAACGTCTTTTAGAAAAAATCTAGTTTCCTCTTGAAGATGTCCACGGTTGTTCCGGCAATATTTCTTATGCTCGCTGGGAGGGTGTTGAACAGCCGCGGACCTCTGATGTTCATACAGTGTTCTCTGATTGTGCCTATGGCACCTCTGCTCTTCACTGGTTCTATTCTGCATTTTCTTCCATATCGTTCACTCCAGTACGTTGTTATTTTACTGTGCAGATTTGGGACCTGGCCCTCCAGTATTTTCCATGTGTATATTATTTGGTATCTCTCTCGCGTCTCTTTTCTAGTGAGTACATTTGGAGAGCTTTGAGACGATCCCAATAATTTAGGTACTTTATCGCGTCTATGCGTGCCGTATATGTTCTCTGTATTCCCTCTATTTCAGCAATCTCTCCTGCTCTGAAGGGGGAAGTGAGTACCGAGCAGCGCTTTCCATCTCTTCTGCCTGTTTCTCCGTCTTGCGAACGATTCCTATGGAGCTCTCGTCAAAGGCTTTCTGACAGTCCAAAAATATACAATCCGATCCCCTTTCTCTTCCTTGACTGATCTTTATCGCCTGGTCTTAAATTGTACCAACTTTATGTGGCAGGATTTGTGTTGCGTGAACCCTTGTTGGCATCATGTCACTGGCGCCCATGTCCGGACGCTGTGATTGGAGGAGGTGTAGAGTGCCTGGGGCAGGTGGTGTCTGGGGAACATGACCAGGTCACACAAGTCACCAGGAAGATGAGTATGCGTCAAGAGGACCAGGAGGGACGTGCCTATGGGAATAGAGGTTTAGGTAAGAGGGGCTGAGGGTGCCAGAAGGCACCTTCTTGGGCAACGACCACCCAGGGAAGGCAGTGGTGGAGGTCGTGCAAGTTGATTTCTTGGCGAAGCTGTTGCAAGTCCTCCGATGACCCAACTGCGGGTCGCCTTACGTGCGGCAGCTGCGGCTGCGAGCTTGTGGCCGTGTAAATCAAGCCGCAATTAAACGGAGTGGCTTCCTGAGGCCGCAGAGTTAGGCTCAGGTGACAGGCGGCGGCCAGGGGAGGTGGTGGGGGGGGCCTGCCACTGCAGGTCCGCCGCCAGCCTGGCCATCCCCCCGCCGCTAGCCTCGCATTAAGCTAAGTAAAATCAGTAATGCATGCACCGGAGCGCGAATAAAGTGTGTAAATAAGTGAGTATCGAGGAGATGGACTAAGAAGCCGTGGAGGGCCCGCTCAGGCAGGCAGTAACTTGATCACCAGCTTCCTCACCACACCTAAACGGTAAGACCACGGAGACCAAGGGCCCGACCTCACTCACCCCGCACCATACTCACACTTCTCACTCACTGCTACATCCTCGTGCCTCACACTGCTCGAACCATCTCCTCAAACCTTAGAAGCATAAATGTTGTTGTAAAAGCTGCTGGCAGTGTGTGGAGGACACGGGAGGAGGGGGCTGCATCCCGGGGCTGGCTACCAGGGAGGTGGGCCCGCCCAGGCGCTGGCCTCAAATAACAGGGCAGGAGGTCCACTCAAACATTAATTACTGATATTGACTCGTCTCTGGAGATGATAGCTTGATATCTCCTCACAGGCCACTGCCAATAATCCAACACTTAGCGAGTTACTGGCTGGCTCTCGCAGCTATACATTACACTGGCTGCCCTCTCTCGCTACCTAAGGTAGCTTACTCCATGGGTATTAGTGCATTGTGGGTGTGGCACCTGTATTATGGGGGAGGGGGTGTGGCACCTGTATTATGGGGGAGGGGGTGTGGCACCTGTATTATGGGGGAGGGGGTGTGGCACCTGTATTATGGGGGAGGGGGTGTGGCACCTGTATTATGGGGGTGGGGGTGTGGCACCTGTATTGTGGGGGAGGGGGTGTGGCACCTGTATTGTGGGGGGTGGCACCTGTATTATGGGGGAGGGGGTGTGGCACCTGTATTATGGGGGAGGGGGTGTGGCACCTGTATTATGGGGGAGGGGGTGTGGCACCTGTATTATGGGGGAGGGGGTGTGGCACCTGTATTATGGGGGAGGGGGTGTGGCACCTGTATTATGGGGGGAGGGGGTGTGGCACCTGTATTATGGGGGAGGGGGTGTGGCACCTGTATTATGGGGAGGAGTGTCGCAGCTGTATTATGGGGGAGGGGGTGTGGCACCTGTATTATGGGGGAGGGGGTGTGGCACCTGTATTATGGGGGAGGGGTGTGGCACCTGTATTATGGGGGAGGGGGTGTGGCACCTGTATTATGGGGGAGGGGGTGTGGCACCTGTATTATGGGGGAGGGGGTGTGGCACCTGTATTATGGGGGAGAGGTGCTGCACCTGCATTATGGGGGGAGGGGGTGTGGCACCTGTATTATGGGGGGAGGGGGTGTGGCAGCTGTATTATGGGGGGATTGGGGGTGTGGCACCTGCATTATGGGGGAGGGGGTGTGGCACCTGCATTATGGGGGAGGGGGTGTGGCACCTGCATTATGGGGGAGGGGGTGTGGCACCTGCATTATGGGGGAGGGGGTGTGGCACCTGCATTATGGGGGAGGGGGTGTGGCACCTGCACTCAGAGCACCAATGGGGGCTATCTTGGTGCCGTCACCAGCAGACAAGGGGGGGGGGAGCAGGAGCTAAACATGGGGTTACTGCACAAGGTGCACGATGCTCCATCAGCCGGTGACTGACATATCATCGTCGCAGAGACAACACGGGACAACTCCATGTGTTTGGTGCATACAATTTCTTACACAAGAGGTGCAGTTGGCTGCGGTGGCTGGGCACGTCGCGTATCCCCGCACCCGACGTCTGGGGTGTCGACCACCCACCACCAAGTGTCAGGTCCCGCCAGGTCGTGGTTAGTGACCTGTAACTGACGGGTCACCACCGTTCTGGGTCACCACTGTTACCACATACCTCTTTCTCAACGGTAACCTTACATACACGTTGATACGTGCGGCCAAGTCTTAGTCCCAGAGGTACATTTACTTATGATAACATCAGCAGGTTATTCTGAGCTCGCGTACAACAGCGTAGCCTTCAGCAACTTCAATAACGAGACGTTCAGAGCACAACTGGACATCACCTACGAGAAACCAGCGCTAAAGTATGCAGCCCCATCTTGGAGCTGCCATTTATAGAAGCACGAAGAACTACTGGTGAGGTACACATGGTTGCAACACCAGACGAAAAAGTAGTTATTTTTTTCAAGTTTAATCAGGGAGTCACTGCACTGACTGACCGGCCACCTGGTCCCCTCCCCACCTGCACCACTCCCCCACCACCTGCACCACCCCCACCACCTGCACCCCTCCCCACCACCTGCACCCCTCCCACCACCTGCACCCCTCCCCACCACCTGCACCACTCCCACCACCTGCACCACACTCCCCACCACCTACACCACTCCCCACCACCTGCACCCTCCCCACCACCTGCACCACTCCCCACCACCTGCACCACCTCCCCACCACCTGCACCACCCCCACCACCTGCACCCCTCCCCACCACCTGCACCACTCCCCACCACCTGCACCACTCCCCACCACCTGTACCACTCCCCACCACCTGCACCACTCCCCACCACCTGCACCACTCCCCACCACCTGCACCACTCCCCACCACCTGCACCACGCCCCACCACCTGCACCACTCCCCACCACCTGCACCACTCCCCACACCACCTGCACCACTCCCCACCACCTGCACCACTCCCCACCACCTGCACCACTCCCCACCACCTACACCACTCCCCACCACCTGCACCACTCCCCACCACCTGCACCACTCCCCACCACCTGCACCACTCCCCACCACCTGCACCACTCCCCACCACCTGCACCACTCCCCACCACCTACACCACTCCCCACCACCTGCACCACTCCCCACCACCTACACCACTCCCCACCACCTGCACCACTCCCCACCACCTACACCACTCCCCACCACCTACACTACTCCCCACCACCTACACCACTCCCCACCACCTACACTACTCCCCCCACCACCTACACCACTCCCCACCACCTACACCACTCCCCACCACCTGCACCACTCCCCACCACCTGCACCACTCCCCACCACCTACACCACTCCCCACCACCTGCACCACTCCCCACCACCTGCACCACTCCCCACCACCTGCACCACTCCCCACCACCTACACCACTACCCACACCACCTGCACCACTCCCCACCACCTACACCACTCCCCACCACCTACACCACTCCCCACCACCTGCACCACTCCCCACCACCTGCACCACCTGCACCACTCCCCACCACCTGCACCACTCCCCACCACCTAAACCACTCCCCACCACCTACACCACTCCCCACCACCTACACCACTCCCCACCACCTGCACCACTCCCTACACCACCTGCACCACTCCCCACCACCTGCAACCACTCCCCACCACCTACACCGCTCCCCACCACCTACACCACTCCCCACACCACCTGCACCACTCCCCACACCACCTGCACCACTCCTCACACCACCTGCACCACTCCCCACCACCTGCACCACTCCCCACCACCTACACCACTCCCCACCACCTACACCACTCCCACCACCTACACCACTCCCCACCACCTGCACCACTCCCCACCACCTGCCCACTCCCCACCACTCCCCACCACCTGCACCACTCCCCACCACCTGCACCACTCCCCACCACCTACACCACTCCCCACCACCTGCACCACTCCCCACCACCTGCACCACTCCCCACCACCTACACCACTCCCCACCACCTACACCACTCCCCACCACCTGCACCACTCCCCACACCACCTGCACCACTCCCCACCACCTGCACCACTCCCCACCACCTGCACCACTCTCCACACCACCTGCACCACTCCCCACCACCTGCACCACTCCCCACCACCTGCACCACTCCCCACCACCTGCACCACTCCCCGCCACCTGCACCCACTCCCCACCACCTGCACCACTCCCCACCACCAACACCACTCCCACACCACCTGCACCACTCCCCACACCACCTACACCACTCCCCACCACCACCTACACCACTCCCACACCACCACCTACACCACTCCCCACCACCTGCACCACTCCCCCACCACCTGCACCACTCCCCCACCACCTGCACCACTCCACACCACCTGCACCACTCCCCACCACCTGTACCACTCCCCACCACCTGCACCACTCCCCACCACCTACACCACTCCCCACCACCTGCACCACTCCCCACCACCTGCACCACTCCCCACCACCTGTACCACTCCCCACCACCTGCACCACTCCCCACCACCTGCACCACTCCCCACCACCTGCACCACTCCCACACCACCTGCACCACTCCCACACCACCTGCACCACTCCCCACCACCTGCACCACTCCCCACCACCTACACCACTCCCCACACCACCTGCACCACTCCCCACACCACCTGCACCACTCCCCACCACCTGCACCACTCCCCACCACCTGCACCACTCCCCCACCACCTGCACCACTCCACACCCACCTGCACCACTCCACACCACCTGCACCACTCCACACCACCTGCACCACTCCCACACCACCTGCACCACTCCCCACCACCTGCACCACTCCCCACCACCTGCACCACTCCCCACCACCTGCACCACTCCCCACCACCTGCACCCACTCCCCACCACCTGCACCCCTCCCACACCACCTGCACCACTCCCACACCACCTGCACCTCTCCCCACCACCTGCACCACTCCACACCACCTGCACCACTCCCCACCACCTGCACCACTCCCCACCACCTACACCCTCCCCACACCACCTGCACCACTCCCCACACCACCTGCACCACTCCCCACCACCTACACCACTCCCCACACCACCTGCACCACTCCCCACACCACCTGCACCACTCCCCACACCACCTGCACCACCACTCTCCACACACCACTCCCCACACCACCTGCACCACTCCCCACCACCTACACCACTCCCACACCACCTACACCACTCCCCACACCACCTGCACCACTCCCCACACCACCTGCACCACTCCCCACCACCTACACCACTCCCCACACCACCACTGCACCACTCCCACACCACCTGCACCACTCCCCACCACCTGCACCACTCCCCACACCACCTGCACCACTCCCCACCACCTGCACCACTCCCCAAAACCACCTGCACCACTCCCACACCACCTGCACCACTCCCACACCACCACCTCCCACACCACCACTCCCCACCACCTACACCACTCCCCACACCACCTGCACCACTCCCCACCACCACCTCCACCACCTCCCCCCACCACCTGCACCACTCCCACACCACCTGCACCACTCCCCACACCACCTGCACCACTCCCCACCACCTGCACCACTCCCCACCACCTGCACCACTCCCCACCACCTGCACCACTCCCCCACCACCTGCACCACTCCCCACCACCTGCACCACTCCCCACACCACCTACACCACTCCCACACCACCTGCACCACTCCCCACACCTGCACCACTCCCACACCACCTGCACCACTCCCCACCACCTGCACCACTCCCCACACCACCTGCACCACTCCCACACCACCTGCACCACTCCCCACACCACCTACACCACTCCCCACACCACCTACACCACTCCCCACCACCTGCACCACTCCCCACCACCTACACCACTCCCCACCACCTGCACCACTCCCCCACTCCCACACCACCTGCACCACACCACCTGCACCACTCCCCACACCACCTGCACCACTCCCCACACCACCTGCACCACTCCCCACACCACCTGCACCACTCCCCACACCACCTACACCACTCCCCACACCACCTGCACCACTCCCACACCACCTGCACCACTCCCCACCACCTACACCACTCCCCACCACCTGCACCACTCCCCACACCACCTACACCACTCCCCACACCACCTGCACCACTCCCCACACCACCTACACTCCCCACACCACCTGCCCACTCCCACACCTGCACCACTCCCCACACCACCTACACCACTCCCCACACCACCTACACCACTCCCCACACCACCTACACCACTCCCCACACCACCTACACCACTCCCCACACCACCTACACCACTCCCCACACCACCTACACCACTCCCCACACCACCTACACCACTCCCACACCACCTACACCACTCCCCACACCACCTACACCACTCCCCACACCACCACCACTCCCACACCACCTGCACCACTCCCCACCTACACCACTCCCCACACCACCTGCACCACTCCCACACCACCTGCACCACTCCCCACCACCTCCACCACTCCCCACACCACCTGCACCACTCCCCACACCACCTGCACCACTCCCCACACCACCTGCACCACTCCCCACACCACCTACACCACCCCACACCACCTCACCACTCCCCACACCACCTACACCACTCCCACACCACCTGCACCACTCCCCACACCACCTACACCACTCCCACACCACCTGCACCACTCCCCACACCACCTACACCACTCCCCACACCACCTACACCACTCCCCACACCACCTACACCACTCCCACACCACCTGCACCACTCCCCACACCACCTGCACCACTCCCCACCACCTATACACTCACCCTCTTCATAAAGTCGGCGAAGGAAGCGTACGGGAAGGCGTTCTCATATCCCTTGAAGCTTCTCATCTTGTCTAGGATCTTCTGAGGGTTGAGGTTAGTCCACTTCACCCCTGATCCAAGTCCCCTGTGAACGAAAACACCAGAGTTGATTAAATAGGAAGACAACTTTAAGAGAAACAAGAACGGTTAATCTGGGCTGATATTTACAAGAGTCGCACCTTCAACCGTTACTTTCGGTTCGGCGCCTGACGGATGTTAATTAGAACGGCGGCAGTGGTCCTCGAGGCGCCACCCACAAACACCTCAAACTTGCACATAAGTACTAACGATGTGATATGCCAGGTTATAGTCCGAGGAGGACACTGAGAGACCATTACACCACAGCCTGCCACAGTGCCCTGTGGCAGGCCTCTCGTGTGTTATAGTGGTGCCCGATACCCCCTCACCAGTCGCATCCGTCAGTGTGTACCACTTAATATGAGGCGGGTATGGCAGGCCCGCCTCACCAGGAGCATACCTGCTGCCCCCTCACCGTCGTCTGGGCGGCACCGTGCACACCAAGGTGACGTGGAGCAAGCCCACACGCCCGGACACCACGGCACCGGAGGAAGAAGGGGCAGGAACACGGAGAAGGTAGAAGAGGGCAGGGAAGGCTTGTGCGGTGGCAGGGGATAAAGATGTAGGAACACAAGGTTGAAAGAGGAAACAATTACAATAAGTAAAGCTTAATTTAACGTGCAAAACAAAAGCCATATCTCTATCTGTCTGTCTCTACTCTTTCTCCCTGTCTCTGAACCCCCGAGAGAGAGAGAGAGAGAGAGAGAGAGAGAGAGAGAGAGAGAGAGAGAGAGAGAGAGAGAGAGAGAGAGAGAGAGAGAGAGAGAGAGAGAGAGAGGAGAGGAAAAGGAGGGAGAGAGGAGGAAAGGAGGGGAAGAGAGAGAGACGGAGAGAGGGGGAGGGGAAGAGTGAGAGGGGGGGGAGAGAGAGAGAGAGAGAGACTCTCCCCTTACACATCACTGTCTCACATCTACCTCATCCCTTTACCCAATCCCAGAGGCGAGGGGACGAGACGCCTGACATATGAGGAAGACCACGACCTCGCCCGCCCCAGCTGATTACCGTGACGCCCACACAAAGATACCGCCCACCCACCCACCCAACCCACCGCCCACCCACCACACCAACACACCCACCACCTGCACACACCTCACTGTGGCTGCCCACCCACCAGAGGTGACAAGGTGCCTGCAGCAGGGGGAAGCAGCCTGTGTGCCGGCAGCAGCGGACAGACGGGGCCACGGCGCACGACCCACGACTCACAAAGAGAAGCTTGGCATTCCGCTGGGGCGGTAACTGCGTCCTCATCAACAATCGCGACGTGGGGCGGCAGCCGCTTGATTAAGACATCCTTCTGCACGAATAAGGTAGGGGGAGGGTTGGGGAGGTCCTCCCGTGGTGGGGGAGGGGGAAGGCAGGAGCAGACGGAGGGAGGGAGGGAGGGAGCGGGAAGGCGTGCCACCATGGAGGAGAGACCTACAATGGCCGACACATCTGGTGACGCTCGCTACCACCACACTCTTGAAGGACAGGGAGGATGAACGTGTCGTGTGGATGAAAGAACACGATAAAGTAGCCGTCACAACTGGAAGAAATGACAGGCTGGATAACAAGAAACTTTCAAACTAGAGATGCTATACTAATTGCACAATTTTTAAAACGCTAGTGATCTCTTGGGTAGAATACTGTTACATAATAATAGCTTAATTCAAAGCTGGAGAAATTGCCAACCTGGAGAGCGTGCAGAGATCCTTTACTGCTAGACCCCACTCAATAAAACATCTAAATTTTTAGGATCGCCTAAAAATGCTTAAATCTGTAATCTCTTGAGCGCAGACGGGAGAGATGCATAGTAATTTACGCGTGGAAAACATTAGAGGGGCTGGTCCCAAACCTGCACACAGAAATAACACCACATGAGACCAGAAGACATGGCAGGATGTGCAGAATACCCCCGTTGAAGAGCAGAGGTGCAACAGGTACTCTGAGAGAGAACTCTATCAACATCAGAGGCCCGAGACTGTTCAACACACTTCCAGTACACATAAGGGACATAACTGGCCGACCCCTCAGTGTTCAAGAGAGAACTTGACAAACACCTTCAAAGGATACCTGATCAACCGGGCTGTGACTCATACGTCAGGCTGCGAGCAGCCGCGTCCAATAGGCTAGTTTGGGGACTAGTCCAATAGGCTAGTTGGGGACCGGGCCGCGAGGACTTTGACCCTCGGAATCATGGAAAGGTAAAAGAAAGGTAAAGGTAGGCCTACCCCGCTACAATAACTAAGGTGTGTGTCAAGTAGAGACAAGGTCCTGGTGCTCGCACGCGCCCCAGGCAAGCACTTACCATTATCTCAAGTCACTTAAGCCATAAAGGTCATCTTGGATCCTCACAACCACGAGGAAGTAAATGAATTCCGGCAAGAGAGAGAAGGTGTTGCTGCCAGACGACCAGTGCGCCGCCTCCCGTGGCCCCGGCGCCTCACTCTCACACCCGGGGCACTGCTGGGGCTCGTCCTCCCGGCCGGGGACACGCGCGTGTTCCACACCTCTGTCCCGGGGAGTGTGGCGCCCACGGCACCATTGTGCAGCCGCGCGTTCACACACGCGCCTCCATGCTTCTCAAGGCCCTCTCACACCCGCAACATTACCATGGGAAGCCTCACAGTCCCATGGGGAGGCTGCTCTCTGCCTGACACTCCCCCATGGGGAGGCTGCTCTCTGCCTGACACTCCCCCATGGGGAGGCTGCTCTCTGCCTGACACTCCCCCATGGGGAGGCTGCTCTCTGCCTGACACTCCCCCATGGGGAGGTTGCTCTCTGCCTGACACTCCCCCATGGGGAGGTTGCTCTCTGCCTGACACTCCCCCATGGGGAGGCTGCTCTCTGCCTGACACTCCCCCATGGGGAGGTTGCTCTCTGCCTGACACTCCCCCATGGGGAGGCTGCTCTCTGCCTGACACTCCCCCATGGGGAGGTTGCTCTCTGCCTGACACTCCCCCATGGGGAGGCTGCTCTCTGCCTGACACTCACCCATGGGGAGGCTGCTCTCTGCCTGACACTCCCCCATGGGGAGGCTGCTCTCTGCCTGACACTCCCCCATGGGGAGGCTGCTCTCTGTCTGACACTCCCCATGGGGAGGTTGCTCTCTGCCTGACACTCCCCCATGGGGAGGCTGCTCTCTGCCTGACACTCTCCCATGGGGAGGCTGCTCTCTGCCTGACACTCCCCCATGGGGAGGCTGCTCTCTGCCTGACACTCCCCCATGGGGAGGCTGCTCTCTGCCTGACACTCTCCCATGGGGAGGCTGCTCTCTGCCTGACACTCCCCCATGGGGAGGCTGCTCTCTGCCTGACACTCCCCCATGGGGAGGCTGCTCTCTGCCTGACACTCCCCCATGGGGAGGCTGCTCTGCCTGACAGACATGCCCTGCGACATTTACCACACGCCCTTCACATTCCTTGGATACCTGGTTGATGGGGTTCTGGCTGTTCTACTCCCCAAGCCCGGCCCGAGGCCAGGCTTGACTTGTGAGTCTGGTCCACCAGGCTGTTGCTTGCAGCGGCCCGCAGGCCCACATACCCACCACAGCCCTGTTGGTCCGGCACTTCTTAAGAGAAAATGGGCCCTCCTTGGAGAAAATGAGACAGAGCCTAGATACTGGCGTTATCCCTGACATACTAAAGACAGCAGAGATAGCACCACTTCATAAATGAAAAATAAGGCAAAGGCAAAAAATTAGACAAATAGCACTAACATCACACATCATAAGTCTTTGAAAGAGTGCTAAGAAGTAGGAAGTAAGAAGTAAGATTTCGTACTCTGAGAGAGAAGTCTATCAACATCAGAGGCCCGAGACTGTTCAACACGCTTCCGCTTCACATAAGGGACATAACTGGCCGACCCCTCGCAGTGTTCAAGAGAGAGAACTGGATAAGCACCTCCAAAGGATACCTGATCAACCAGGCTGAATCATACGTCAGGCTGCGAGCAGCCGCATCCAACAGCCTGGTTGACCAGTCCAGCAACCAGGAGGCTTCTCGACGACTGGGCCGCGGGGACGCTAGGGACCGGAAGCACCTCAAGGTAACAAGGTCACACAACACATGGCATCACAGCACCTCCATAACCCCGGACAACATGGTTTCAGAACAGGGCGCTCTTGCCTGTCGCAGTTGCTGGACCACTATGATATGGCATTAGATGCTATGGAAGACAGACAAGCAAAACGCTGATGTAATTTACACAGATTTCGCAAAAGCCTTCGACAAATGTGACCATGGTGTTATTGCACATAAAATGTGTTCAAAATGAATTACCGGAAAAATAGGCAGATGGATCCACAATTTCCTGATTAACAGAACCCAATGTGTAATAGTCAACAAAATAAAATCCGGTCCATCAACCGTGAAGAGCTCAGTCCCCGAGGGTACTGTGCTTGCTCCAGTACTTTTTATCAATCCAATATCGGACATAGACACAAACTATATCTCGTATCATACTTTGCAGATGACACTAGAATTTTTGAGAATAGACAACATAGAGAACACAGCAAACCTCCAATCAGATGTAAATCAGGTCTTTCAATGGACTACAGAAAATAATATGGTAGTTAATGAAAAGGTCCCCCGTGTCCAAGCTCTTCCTCCACACTATACTGAGTGCCTGCGCTACTGGCACTTTGCATTTCTTTATAAATATTGAATTCCATGAGTCTGGACCCGGGGCTGAGTGCATGGGCATGTTGTCAATTTATCTTCCAAAATCTGCCACGCTCGTGTTGATATCAGTTATATTATCAGGGGTTTGGATATCACGCATAAAGAAGTTGTCCGGATCTTCCACTGTCATGTAGTGTACTGTGTAGTCTTTCAGCGCGTGTTATCTCACTCTGCTTCTAGTCTACCACCACTTGCTTACTCTCCATCTTATGTGTTCCATGTGCTTACTGCGCTTGCACTAAATAAGATCTTTCGAGCATGTACGTGTACGTGTGTGTGTGTGTGTATGGGAACGTGTATGTGTACGTGTATGTATACGTGTACGTGTGCGTGCGTGTGCGTGCGTGCGTGCGTGCGAGGAGGGTGGTGGGTGAGGGCTGCCCCACC